TACAGCCGTCTCTTATTTCTGTCGGTTCTCATGTTGGGTGGTATTGAGGGCTCCGGCCGTTGGCCCAATCAGGTTCACAGGGTTTCGGGGAAACCCTAAACTAAGCCCTAAGGCCTCAAAAGGACAAGAAGCTCCGGTGTGCTATCTCTTGGTCCTAAGTGATCCCGCAAGCCACGTTTCTTGCTGGGGCCGAGATGAGGGACCTGGCAGAGAAGCTTGCGGCGACCGTGAGAAGTTGGCGGCCGCTCCGCGACGGAAGGCCAAAAGTGAGATGCCGAGCACGCTGCAAGAGATGGCATGTGACCTTGTGCAGAACAGCCGGCCTTTGAGCCTGGATGACATGCCTCCGCGAATGCCATACACGACTGGCGAAGATCGCAGGCTCATGCACTGGCGTTTGCTCGAGATGCTATTGGAGGAGACTGCCTGAGCTGCAGCCGGGCGTGGGATGTACTAGCCTACACCCTTTCAATCCCTCCACTGAACCCATAAGGTGTAGTTTGTTTATAGTCAGGGTCCCCTTTTTGGATCCCGTATATTAAATATGGACCCCAAAAGGGCCCCCCCCAATTTACAGGCTTATCCCTGAGGCCCCTGCAAGCCCCTACAAGCCCTACAAAAACCCTTAGACCCCTAAACCTCTTAAATCCATCAGAAACCCTCAAGCCCGAAAGCCCCTCAAACAAAGAAGAGACCAACACCTGAAACCCAAAACCGTGAACCCTAAACCCTAAACCTTGTACTCTATACCCCCAAACCCTGCCGTAAACCCCAAACCCTGCCGGAAACCCTATTGAGGTCAACACCTACATCAAGCTGCCGCTGATCCGCCGAAACTCCTACGGAGATTACTTCCGGAACGGACCATCCTACAAGCCCGGACCTGAGACGTGATTTCCCTTTTCTTTTTCGGGGGGGGTTTAGGGTCTAGGGTTTAGGGTTTAGGGTTTCGGGCTACTAGGACCCAGAGGCGGCCCTTGTTCCCTTGTTTGGGGTGGTTGTCGGCTCCCCGAAGCCCCATTTAAACCAAGTGACGTGCACCCTTTCTATCCCCAGGTCCCTCTAAGGTCTGGGATCTCCATCAGATTCCTGCAGGTTCTTTGGGAGGGTTTAGGGCTCAGGGCTTGGGGCTTAGGGTTTGGGGTTTGGGGTTTGGGGTTTGGGGTTTAGGGTTAGGGAAAAGAGGGCTTAAGTTAAGGGATCAGAGGGCTATGAATGGCTTCGAGGGCCGTGAAAGGCTTGGATGTAGCTGATCTACCCTAAACCCTAAACCCTAAACCCTAAAGCCTAAACCCATAGGTAGAGTCCAACACAGTTGAGCATGCATCGGAGCCTGATGTTTCGTGTCTTTCACTCCATCCAGAAAGCTAGTCCAACACAGATGACGTCTGCAAACCCTCCATTTGCCTAGACCCTGAAAAACCCTAAAGCCTTATAAGCCCAAAACCTAAAACCCTTAAACTAACCTATTGCCGCCTACACACCCTAAACCCTACAATCCTTATAAACCCTACACGTGCTCATCCTATAAACCCTACGTGCCCTATGAACCCTACGAATCCTATAAGCCCAATACCTCCAAGAATCTCCAAACTCTACAAACCTTAAACCTTACACCCTAAACCCTAAACCCCATACCCTAAATCCTGAACCCTAGCCCTTAACCCTAAACCCCCTCAACCCTACACCCCTGGATGGTTGTAAAGAGCCCTCGTGCCAAGGAAGGCCATCGTCACCTTCGAGGCGCGCCTCCGAGGGATTTCTGTAGGGTTTAGAAGGCTTAGCGTCTTAGTGTTTTTTTGGTTTGTGTAGGGTCTAGGGTCTAGGGTCTAGGGTTTAGGGTCTAGGGTTTAGGGTTTAGGGTTTAGGGTTTAGGGTTTAGGGTTTAGGGTTGAGGAGTCCTCCATAGTCGGGGGGGGGGGGGGGGGGGGGGGGGGTGGATCTGCTTGAATGAAGGTTTTTGATGTTCCGGGTGGTAGGTTTAGTGCCTGGTCTTAGGGTTTAGGGTTTAGGGTGACTGTAGGTAGGTATGCTTGAAGGTTCAGGGCACTTATAATTAAGGTTATAAGCACCCCAAAAGAGTTAGAACCAGTTGTAAGTATGGATACCCTACTTATTACTCACTTACACCTTGTGTTCTTGTGCTCGTAACAGCTTCCTAAACCTAAACCCTAAACCCTGAACCCTAAACCCTAAACCCTAAACCCTATGAACAGTCAAGCCATGTTCGGGGGCTTCAGTGCATGTTACACCCTACATCGTTGACCCGTACTTGGAGTTCATGATACTTAATAACCCTATTACCTGTACTTATAACCCAATAATGACCCCTTAGGGCACTTAAGGGGCTTACAAGTGGGTATAAGTACAGTTCTTATTGGGTCATTAAGTACCATGAACCTTCAAGTAAGGTTGTACCCTTGGCTTTTGGGCGCCCTTGTTAAGGATTCCTAAGGGAATATAAGGGCCATAGTAGGAGTATATTAAGGGGGACCTTTAGGGGTACGAGCCTTGACCCTGTGACAGAAAGACCGGGTAGTTGTAGATTCGCTCCGGTGCATGGAATCCTCTGGCCTCTATAGTACTTGACTGGGGCTTTAAGTACTTGGAGGCTCATGGTACTTGCTAGCCCTACGATAACTGCGCTTATCTCCCACTTCGAAGCCGCTCAAGTGCCCTGATATGGTTAGAAATGGGTTATGCCCTAAACCCTAAACCCTGAGCCCTAAACCCTAAGCCCTAAAGTTACAACAGGGTGAATAGGTACCATGAAGCCTTCAAGTCGGGATTATCAAAAGGGTTTGCACTTAAGGGCACTCTTGGGGGGCTCCCGAGCTGCGGCGTGCTCAAGCGAAATCAGCTGAGCTATAGGACCGCCAGAGGAGTTCACCCAAAAGGATGGCCTCCAAGAAGATGGCGATTGGCGGCCTGGGCCTGGCTGCGCTCGGAGGGGCTGCCTTCGTGGCTCCGGGGCCCTCGGGCGCCCGGACCGCCCCGGCCAGCGCCCTTCGAGGGAGCCCGCCCGCGCAGCGCGCGCAGCACGCGCAGCGCGCGCAGCGCAGCGTGGCGTCCGCCGCAGCCGGCTGCGCCGTGGCTGCGGGAGCCGTCCTGGTCAGCCAGGCCAGAAGAGCGCAGGCCGGACCTGAAGCATCAGAGAAGCCCCTTTTAAGAGCTGAAGCCCTGAATCGGAAAGCAGTGTAATTACCTGGAGGCTCATGGTAGTTTTAACCAAGAATAATGTAGTTCTAACACACTTATAAGCCCCTCAAGTGCCCTAATGTAGTTACACATTGGTTTAGAAGTACAACTAGAATTGGGTTGTACCATGAACCTCCAAGTAGGGCTGAATGACAGAAAGCTCGGGGCGTGATCGGAAACACGGGGCTCAGTCAAAACGCCTAAGGCCTCAGTTGGAAAACAGCCTTCCTTCCCCAATGTGGAAAGACATGTGTGGGGAGTCGGACGGGGGCGGGCGGGGCTGTGAATGAGGCCACCAACGTTTGGGTTTTCCTCTAGTAATTGCTTAAGAACCCCAAGAAAAACTATTCTTCCTTGTAAGGGTAATATTGGAATTATCATTTTTTTTATTCTTGTGGGGTTCTTAAGCAAATAGTAGTCATTGTTTTGGAAAGGGCCGAGTTGGAGCTCTTTCTGTGGCGGCTTGGCCTTTCGTCCGCAGGCGTTGGCCGCAAATGTTTTTCGGGTGGGGAGGGGCGTGGGGGGGTGGGGAGAGGGGGGGTGGGGAGAGGGGGGGTGGGGAGAGGGGGGGTGGGGAGAGGGGGGGGTGGGGAAAAGCCCTTCACCTGAAGTTTTCATGGTAGCTGTCGCCTCTCACAAGAATGCTGCGTGTGCCACATTTCTGCATGCGCGCGGTCTGACTTGCCGCCGGCTGTCCTCTGCAATCTTTGACGTCTAGAGGCCTTTCTGGCAGTTAGGGGTCCGGTTTCCGGGGCCTGCTGTGTGGATGCTGAATGCGTTCAGTTCAAAGCCGGGGACTCTTTTTCTGGGTTTGGAGCCTTCGGCTGGCGACTTATAGCGACCAACTGAGCAAACTGCTTCCTGAAACCGACACGCGGCCTGACGCGCCGTTTCAACCCTTCGCGTTTCTTTTTGTTGTTTTCTGATTGCGCCCTGCTACAGCTGTGTCGGTTCGGCCCCATCTGTTGTTCTGTTGCTGAATTGGCGGCACTTGATTGCGCCCTCACCCCCTCAGGTTCCTTCAGCCAAGTTCACGACAGCCCTCCGTGCCTTCGAGCAGGAACTTGGCGTGCAACCTCCAGTGGGTTTTTGGGACCCGCTCGGCCTCGCCCGGGACGGCGACGTTGAGAGCTTCTTAGAGTAGCTGCGTGAGTACACTTTACCTTTTTTGTGATACCATAATCCCCTATAGAACTGAAAGTGCACACTTTTTTGGGGCTTATGAACCCTAAACCCTAGACCCTAAACCCTAAACCCTAAACCCTAATCCCTAGACCCTAAACTCAGCTACTCAGGCTTCATGCGCAGGCGCTCCGTAGAGTTGAAACATGGGCGCATTGCCATGCTCGCGACCATGGGCTACATCACCCCGGAAATCGCGGGGAAATTCCCAGGCTACCTTTCTCCAAGTAGGACCGTCATAAACCCTAACCCTAAACCCTAAACCCTAAACCCTGAACCCTAAACCCCAAGTCCAAGCCCAGGCTACCTTTCTCCCAGCTTGGGCCTGAAGTTCTCCGACGTGCCCAACGGCCTCGCAGCAATCTCCAAGGTGCCGAGGGGGTTTTTCAGGGAGGGAAGGTTCCCTGATACACCTAAGGTTCCCTAGGTACCTACCCCCCTTGTTCGCCTAAACCCCTAACCCCAAACCCGAAACCCTAAACACTAAACCCTAAACACTAAACCCTAAACCCTAAACCCTGAACCCTTAACCCTTAACCCTAAAACCCTAAACCCTAAACCCTCCCTTCACAACTCCTTCAAAGGTGCCAGCGGGAGGTTGGACGCAGATTCTGCTGTACATGGGCTGCTCGGGAGCCCTTTATTGTGGGATTTAGGGTTTAGGGTTTAGGGTTTGGGGTTTAGGGTGCCTTATCACAGCAAACCCTCAACCCTGAACCCAAAACCCTACACCCTAAACCCTAAACCCTAATCCCTAAACCCTAAACCCTACACCCTACACCCTACACCCTACACCCCAACTGAGGCTGGTGCGAGGTTTCTCGGGGAGCCGGCTCGGACATCGCCAGCGGCCGCCCGGGTGACTTCGGCTGGTATGTCCTGACCAGCGCCGACCCAGAGGCTCAAGGGACTCAAGGAGGAACCCTTGTAGGGGACCTAAGGTGTTCAGAGTTTAGGGTTTAGGCTTTAGGGTTTAGTGGGTTATTTAGGGGCTACTTAGGTATGTAGGGACTATGTAGGGGTTCCATGGGGAAGAAGATACCCCTTAAGAGGCGAAGCAGAAGAAGCTCAATGCGGAGTTGGCGAATGGCCGCTTGGCGATGATGGCCATCATTGGCATGTTCTACCAAGATGGCCTCACAGGCTCCGCCTGGGGTGACTGGGCGAACTTCACCGACTCCCCTCTGCGCGCGGCCGACTTCTCCACAGAGCTCGGCGTGACGCCACCTCTCGGATTTTGGGATCCGCTTGGCTTGAGCAAGTTTGACGATCCCGAGATCGACGCACAGCAGTTCCGCCGAAGGCGGATTGTCGAGCTGCAGCACGGACGCGTCGCCATGCTGGCTTGCATTGGATACATCGTCCCTGAATATTTTCGCTTCCCAGGATTCTGTGCCCCATCGCAGAGCTTGGCCTTCACAGACATCCCCAACGGACTGAAGGGGGCAGCGGCAGTGCCTTTGGCAGGCTGGCTGCAAATCGTCACCTTCGTGGGCATCATCGAGGTCTACAACTTGCAGACCATTCAGAACGATGTGCTGGGTGACTACGGCTATGGAGCATTTGGCCTGCCCTTCGGCAAGAAGATTGAGGATGCTGAGAAGAAGACCAAGAGCCTGAACGCGGAGATCAACAACGGCAGGCTGGCGATGATGGCGATCATCGGGATGTTTTTCCAGGATGGCCTCACCGGCTCCGCCTGGGGCGACTGGGCCAATTATGCCGACTCTCCTCTGCGCGCGGCCGACTTCTCCACAGAGCTCGGCGTGACGCCACCTCTCGGATTTTGGGATCCGCTTGGCTTGAGCAAGTTTGACGATCCCGAGATCGCCGCACAGCAGTTCCGCCGAAGGCGGATTGTCGAGCTGCAGCACGGACGCGTCGCCATGCTGGCTTGCATTGGATACATCGTCCCTGAATATTTTCGCTTCCCAGGATTCTGTGCCCCATCGCAGAGCTTGGCCTTCACAGACATCCCCAACGGACTGAAGGGGGCAGCGGCAGTGCCTTTGGCAGGCTGGCTGCAAATCGTCACCTTCGTGGGCATCATCGAGGTCTACAACTTGCAGACCATTCAGAACGATGTGCTGGGTGACTACGGCTATGGAGCATTTGGCCTGCCCTTCGGCAAGAAGATTGAGGATGCTGAGAAGAAGACCAAGAGCCTGAACGCGGAGATCAACAACGGCAGGCTGGCGATGATGGCGATCATCGGGATGTTTTTCCAGGATGGCCTCACCGGCTCCGCCTGGGGCGACTGGGCCAATTATGCCGACTCTCCTCTGCGCGCGGCCGACTTCTCCACAGAGCTCGGCGTGACGCCACCTCTCGGATTTTGGGATCCGCTTGGCTTGAGCAAGTTTGACGATCCCGAGATCGCCGCACAGCAGTTCCGCCGAAGGCGGATTGTCGAGCTGCAGCACGGACGCGTCGCCATGCTGGCTTGCATTGGATACATCGTCCCTGAATATTTTCGCTTCCCAGGATTCTGTGCCCCATCGCAGAGCTTGGCCTTCACAGACATCCCCAACGGACTGAAGGGGGCAGCGGCAGTGCCTTTGGCAGGCTGGCTGCAAATCGTCACCTTCGTGGGCATCATCGAGGTCTACAACTTGCAGACCATTCAGAACGATGTGCTGGGTGACTACGGCTATGGAGCATTTGGCCTGCCCTTCGGCAAGAAGATTGAGGATGCTGAGAAGAAGACCAAGAGCCTGAACGCGGAGATCAACAACGGCAGGCTGGCGATGATGGCGATCATCGGGATGTTTTTCCAGGATGGCCTCACCGGCTCCGCCTGGGGCGACTGGGCCAATTATGCCGACTCTCCTCTGCGCGCGGCCGACTTCTCCACAGAGCTCGGCGTGACGCCACCTCTCGGATTTTGGGATCCGCTTGGCTTGAGCAAGTTTGACGATCCCGAGATCGCCGCACAGCAGTTCCGCCGAAGGCGGATTGTCGAGCTGCAGCACGGACGCGTCGCCATGCTGGCTTGCATTGGATACATCGTCCCTGAATATTTTCGCTTCCCAGGATTCTGTGCCCCATCGCAGAGCTTGGCCTTCACAGACATCCCCAACGGACTGAAGGGGGCAGCGGCAGTGCCTTTGGCAGGCTGGCTGCAAATCGTCACCTTCGTGGGCATCATCGAGGTCTACAACTTGCAGACCATTCAGAACGATGTGCTGGGTGACTACGGCTATGGAGCATTTGGCCTGCCCTTCGGCAAGAAGATTGAGGATGCTGAGAAGAAGACCAAGAGCCTGAACGCGGAGATCAACAACGGCAGGCTGGCGATGATGGCGATCATCGGGATGTTTTTCCAGGATGGCCTCACCGGCTCCGCCTGGGGCGACTGGGCCAATTATGCCGACTCTCCTCTGCGTGCCTCCAGGTGATGTCGACTGAATGTCTTAGCCGAGCGCGAGAGCCCTGGCTGTTGACATTTAATTTTAACATTCCCCAAGCTTGAACCCCGACCCCTGAACCCGAAGCCCTTAAACCCTCATGTGGAATTGACCCTCCACATGAAAGTCCACGAAGTCCTCACGGATCAGGACGACAGAAGAAAAGATGCGAGCCTGCTGCGCAAGCACTAGCGGATTTTCTGGGGAAGCCCTAAACCCCTAAACCCCCTAAACCCCTAAACCCCTAAACCCCTAAACCCCTAACCCTAAACCCCTAAGTTAAATAGGCTTTAGGGTTTAGGGTTTCAGGTTTAGGGTTTAGGGTTTAGGGCTTGGAGCCGTGAGCGCAAGCCCTCTAAGCCCGATGAGTGCCTCCAGGAGATTATCCCGGACGATGTGAAGATGATCTACAACTCCCGGCCTCCTCCTCGGAGGGGTTTAAGGTTTAGGGTTTGGGGTTTGGGGTTAAGGGTTTAGGGTTTAGGGCTTAGGGCTTTAGGGCCCAAAACAAGATTTAGGATGTGTCGGGTTGGGAGTTTATAGGGGCTTTTAGTGTTTTAGGGCTTGAGGGTTTAGTTAGGTTTTTATAGGGTTCAGGGTTTAAAGGAAACCCTAAACCCTAAACCCAAAACCCAAAACCCCAAACCCAAAAAAAACTAAAGACCCTAAACCCTAGACCCTGAAACTCTAATGCACCCTCAGTTCTGGAAGCCCGAAAACCCTAAGTTCTCCAACCCAGACCCTAAACCCTACAAACAAATACGCTTAAACCCTAAACATCACAAGGTTGAATCAGTAACCCTAGACCCTAGACCCTAGACCCTAAACCCTAAACCCTAAACCCTAAACCCTAAACCCTAAACCCTAAACGGCCCTGAGTCGGACCAGTCCCACAGTTTGTGTGTTTTGTTTCTTTGTCGGGTGAGGGCTAGGGTTTGGGATGTTCCTCCTTATACTAACAGTCCTTAACAGGGATGGTGATAGGGGTTTAGGGTTTGGGGTTTAGGGTTTAAATTAGGGTTTGGGGTTTAGGGTTTAGGGTTAGGGTTTAGGGCTTAGGGTGGGGTACTGCAATCCCTAATAAGGACTGTTCGCATAAGGGGGAACCTCCCAAGATGGGGTTTGGGAGCATTTTGGCTTGTGTTTGCGGTTTTGCAGGTTGAGTCCGCGGGCTACGCCCATACGAAGCCACTAAACTCTAAGCCCTAAACTACTGATCCCTGAATCCTAAACTCCAAACACCAGCAGCACGATGCGGGCCCGTAAACCCTAAAACTCTAAAATCCTAAAACCCTAGAACCCTAAACCCTAAAAGCCTAAAACCCTAAAACCCTAAACCTTGAACCCCTAAAACCGCAAACCCTAAACCCTAAAACTCTAAAACCGTCAACCGTAAAACCTAAAACTCTAAACTCCAAAACCCTAAAACTCTAAACCCTAAGCCCTAAAACCTTCTCCCTAAAACCCTAACACCCGAAACCGCAAACCCTAAACCCTAAACCCTAAAACCCTAAAACTCTAAACCCTAAGCCCTAACACCTTGACACCCCTAAAACCCTAACACCCGAAGCCACAAACCCTAAACCCTATGCCCAGGAATCCCGGCATGAACCCGGCGATCACGAAGTACGCCACTTGCCTTGGTCAGACCTCCTCCTCCCCCGTAGGGCTTAGGATTTAGGGTTTAAGGTTTAGGGTTTAGGGTTTAGGGTTAGTATTTGGGGTTTGGGGTTTGGGGTTTGGGGTTTGGGGTTTGGGGTTTGGGATTTAGGGTTTAGGGTTTAGGGGCTGAATCAAAGCTTGCTTCGGGGTTTAAACGGTAACCCTAGACCCTAAACCCTGCGCCCTCAACCCTAACCCCTGACTTTATTAAGCCTTCAGACCTTATAAACCCCAAGCCGTTTAACTAGGGTTTAGGGTAGAGGGTGCAATTTCGGGAGTCAAGACCACACTATCAGACTCCTCAAAACCCGAAGTACACGTTTGAGGGCTTGAAGGGGTTAAAGCGGTTCAGGGTTTACAAATTTGGGATAATAAGAGGGTTAAGAGTTTTGGGCTTCAGGCCAAGCTCCGGAGGTGAAGCTATAAGAAAGGCACTGTACATTGCACTTAGGGTTTAGGGTTTAGGGTTTAGGGTTTAGGGTTTAGGGTTTAGGGTTTAGGGTTTAGGGTTTAGGGGCTAAACCCTGAACCCCACCCCCCCCCCTCCCCCCACCCCCCCACCACGGTGCCCAGGACACACCGACGAGAAGCCGCTGGAAGCCCTTCCGTCCAGGCCGGGGAGCCCTTAGCCCTTAAACCCTTCCAGGGGTTGGGGTTTGGGGTTTGGGGTTTGGGGTTTGGGGTTTGGGGTTTAGGGTTTAGGGTTTAGGGTTAAGGGTTCAGGGTATCCCTGTTGAAGGGTTTTGATGGTCTAAGGGTTCTGAGGGTTCAAGGGTTTGGGGTTTGGGCGTCGGCACATGTTTCAACAATTGCAACGGTCTATGAACCCCATAGGTCCTGTACACCTTATGAGTTCCCCCAAATCCCGAAACTCGACACCCTAATGAAACCCCAGACCTTGGGATGTTCCCCATTGTACTATCAGTCCTTAAGAAGAGGGGTTATAGTACCCTCCGATTATAATCCCTATGAAGGACTCTTAGTATAAAGGGGAACATCCCAAAATAAGCCCGAAAACCCAAAACCGTAAACCCCACGCCTAACCCCCGACACTCTCACAAGGCGCCAACCGCCGAAAGGACTGGATGCCACGCCACGCGCTGGCCCGGGGGCCTGGAGCTTCGGGTTCCCGGGTTTGTAGGTTAGGGTGTGCCGGATTAGGAAATAGAATCTCCTTGAAGCGACCCCCCCAAAGGGATATAAACCCCGACCCTAACCCCAAACCCCTAAACCCTAAACCCCCAAAAATGGGCACCCTTATTTTCGGCAACCTTCAATTCAGGCATGGGCCGAGCCTGTACCGACGTTGCTTCGTGGAGACGACTTCCCGGCGCCCAAGAGGCTTGAAAGGTTTGGGGTTTGGGGGTTTGGGGGTTACCGTGTCGGTTTTGGGGTTTGGGGCTTGCGTTTTTGGAGTTGAGACGTCGGGGCTTGCGGTTGGGAATTGAGGTTTTGGATCTGCAAGGGAGCGCCACGATGTTTTTTCTTCTTATTTTCTGTGGGGGGGGGGGGGGGGGGGGAAGGGCGGACAGCGTTTCAGGGTTTAGTGTTGGTCTAAACCCGAAAGCCCTATCGCCTGCAATTAAACGACCCCACTCGGTGCAGATTTTCAGACCTTGTCAGCTTGGTCTTTCACACACATCCCTCAGCCCTAAACCCTCTGTAAACCTTTCATCCCTAACCTCTCAACCCTAACCCTGTATCACAAACCTTAAAGGGTTTAGGGTCTAGGGTTTAGGGTTTAGGGTTTAGGGTTTCGGGTTCTGGGTTTCGGGTTTCGGGCTTCAAACCCCAAACCCTGAACCCTCAACCCTGAGCAACCCCAGACGGCAGAGGAGTGAGTCGGTGCTGCCTGACCACACGAAGCCATTCATTCACTACGGACAGCGGGATTGCAGGGCGTGATTTTGGGGTTTAGGGTTTAGGGTTTATAGTCCTTAGGATTTCAGGTGTGGGGTTCAGAGGGTCTAGGGTTTATGGCTTCTTTGATGTTTAGAAAAGTGCTCTGAGCCCTCTTCCAGGTATTTCGGTCCCTAATCCGTAGAAGTTTGCAAATTAGCCCCGCTCTCAGGGCGTTGCTGCAGGGATTCGGGATTTGGCTTTTGGTTGCTGAAGAACTCCCCAAAAATGAAAATGTTCTTCCTTCTATGGGAAATAAGGGGCTTATCATCTTTGATTTTGCAGGGGTTCTTAAGCAAAGAGTGGTTGGGTTTCGGGTTTCTGGGTTTGGGGGACTCAAGTTTTTGAGGAGCTCTGGGCAGGTTTTCTGGTTTCGTTAGGGTTTCGGGGTTTAGGGCTTAGGGTTTAGGGTTTCGGGTTTAGGGTTTAGGGTTTAGGGTTCAGGGTCCAGGGCTTAGGGTTTCGGGTTCGGGGTTTACGAGTGCGCTCGAGCCCCGCCATGAAGTGGTTGCGGGGTGGGCGCATGAGTCTGCAACGTCCACCCTCCCAAACACCACCCAAAGCCCACAGCCACCGAAACCCTAAACTATACAATAAATGGACTATAAAGGAGGGACCCTTCTAGAGGGACCCTAGGGGCTATTTGCGGGTGATTCAGGGGCTCCTGAAAAATATATGGACGATATAAGGTATACATGGTTGCTATATAGGGGAAAACCCTAAACCCTAAACCCTAAACCCTAAACCCTAAACCCTAAACCCTAAACCCTAAACCCTAAACCCTAAACCCTAAACCCTAAACCCTAAGAAGATTAAGGGTCCATTCTAGGGGCCCGTCCTTGTACCCCTTAATGCAACCTCACATTCACCCTTTGAGCTGCAAGCCCTGGAGCCGCAAAAGCCTACTGAGCCCTAACGAAACCCCTTGAGCCCTCAAACCTAAAATGGTACCCTGGGCTCCAACCACAAAACCCTAAACCCTACACCCTAAACCCTAAACACAAAACCCTAAACCCTAAACCCTAAACCCTACACCCTAAACCCTAAACCCTAAAGTTTAAAGGGACTCCGAGGCCCCAAGCCCTAGGCCCTTGAACCTCAAACCCTGAGAAGACCCGAAGCCCCAGACCGCGATGAAGCCTTGTCAGCAGCCCTTAAATCCAAAACCCCAAGGCTTAGGGTTTAGGGTTGGGTTTCGGGTTTAGGGTTTAGGGTTTAGGGTTTAGGGTGTAGGGTTTAGGGTTTAGGGTTTAGGGTTTAGGGTTTAGGGTTTAGGGCCCTTGAACCCTGAACCCCAAACCTCAAGTCCTGGCACCCTAAACCTCAAACCCCAAACCCTGGAACCCTAAACCCCAAGCCCTTAAACCCCCAAACCCTACACCCCAAGCCCTTAAACCCTAAACCCCAAACCCCAAACCCTTGAACCCTAA